TAATACATTATACGTTAATTAATTAAATTTAACAAAAAAAGACGAAAACTAAGAGAATTTACCTCCATCAGATTGGTACAATAATAAATGTAAAAAAAATATTTCTTTCAGCACAAGGGAAATGATAACAGAAAGCTGGTTCTTCAGAATGAAATAAAAAGTCCCAGGAAGGTAAATATACCAATAACTTAAGGGCCAGGAAAGGGGGTGTGTGGAGGGTTTGAAGAAGAAATACTAAAGTATTGTAGAGTTTATATCCTACACAGAATTAAAATATGTAACAGCACATCAGGCAGAAGGGGGTAATTGGAAGTACACTGAATTTCTTACAGTGTTCCTGAAGCAGTTAAATATTTTTAAATGAAGACCATGATAAAAACTGACAGTGTAATCTCAGAGCAACCACTAAAACAAGAAAAGTAAACAGAAGAGACATAAATAAAAAGTCAACAGAAGAGACAAAATGGAATACTAAAGAATCCTCAAGTAACCAAAGAAAGGCAGGAAAGGAGTAAAAGAATAAAAAATATATGGAACAAATACCAAGATCAAAGACCTAACAATAAACATACAAAAATTACATGAAGTGTAAAGGTACACTACCTGCCCCAACTAGAAAGCAAAGATTACCAAACTAGATTTTTTATTAAAAAGATTCAACTCTAGGTGCGTCTGGGTGGCTCAGATGGTTAAGCATCTGCCTTCAGCTCAGGTCATGATCTTAGGGTCTTGGGATTGCGCCCTGCATCAGGCTCCCTGCTCAGCAGTAAGCCTACTTCTCCCTCTCCCTCTACTGCTCCCCCTGCTTGTACTCTCTCACTCTCTCTGTTGAATAAATAAATAAAATATTTTAAAAAAAGACAGTGTAACTATATTAATCTCAAACCAAGCAGACTTAAAGACAGAGAATTACCAGAGATAAAGAGCATTTTAAAATGATAAAAGGACAAATTCATCATGAACACATGACAATCCTAAATGTGTCTGCACCTAATAAAGTTCAAAATACATGGAAAAAATACAAAAGATAAAAACAGCAAACCCTTTAAGAAACCAGAAAGAATACAGAATATTTTTAGACAATCCATCAACTTAACCTAACTGACATTTATAGAACACAACACAACACAACAAAACAGAAGTTCTTCTCACATGCACAGGGAACATTCATTAAGACACACCATATGTATGAGCCATAAATATGGTTCAATAAATTTCAAAAGACTGAAATCACACAGAGTATGTTGTCTGATCAGAACAGTATTTTTTAAAAGATTTACTTATTTGTTTGAGAGAGAGAGAGAGAAAGAGAGCACACGCATGCTTAAGTCAGGGGACGGGGGAGGCAGAGGGCAAGGGAGAGAGAATCCTTAGGCAGACTCCCCGCTGAGCGCAGAGCCCCATGCAGGGCTCAATCCCTGGGCCCTGAGATCATGACCAGAGCCAAAATTAAGAGTCAGATGCTTAACCGACTGAGCCACCCAGGTGCACTGATGAAAACAGTATTAGATTAGAAAACCATCACAGTAAGAGATCTTAAAAATCCCCAAATGTTGGTAAATTTAAGTCAAAAAATAAACCAGAGGGAAATTTAAAGATATTTAAAGCTTAACTACAATAAAAACATATTTGGGGCACCTGGCTGGCTTAGTCAGTAGAGCATACAACTCTTGATCTCAGGGTCATGAGTTGAAGTCCCACGATGGGTGTAGAGTTTACTTAAAACAAAAAAACAAAACACCACAGGGGTGCCTGGGTGGCTCAGTCAGTTATGTATCTGACTCTTGATTTCAACTCAGGTCTTGATCTCAGGGTCATGAGATCAAGCCCCACATCAGGCTCCCTGCTCAGCGGGGAACCTGCTTCTTCCTCTCCCTCTGCCCGCCACCCCTCCTGCTTGTGCTCTCTCTCTCTCTCTGTGTCAAATAAATAGGTAGAATCTTAAAAAAACAAAACAAAAACAAAAACAAAAACCCGGAAAGTTTAGAACTTAGCTATAGCAATTCATACAGAAAAATTTATAGTTTTAAAAAAGCCTCTATCCAAAAAGAAGTCAGGAATAAAATTAAGAAACCAGAAAAGGAAGTACAAACTAAACTCAAGGTAAGGAGAAGTAATAAAAATAAAAGTGGAAAATTAGCATATCAAAAACATTAATAGATTTGATAAAACCCCTAGCAATACAGATTAGAAAAAAGAAAATACAAATTACCAATCAAGAGAGGACATCACTACAGCTCCACAATAAGGGACCAATGGAAATAACTTGGTGACAATAACATAGGTTACTGAGATGCATTAAAAGCATTCAAAAAAGTTTAATATCAATTAATGATAAAAAAAAACTCCCAGCAAACCAGGAAGAGAATGATACTTTCTCAATCTGATCAAGGATATCTACCAAAAAAAAACAAAAACAAAAACAAAAAAAACAAACCAGACTAGTACCATACTTAATGGTACAACACTAAGTAATATCCCCCTAAGAACAGGAACGAAGCAAGGATGTCAACTTTTACTGCTTCAATTCAACATAATAGTAAAGGTCCTAGCTGTTGCAATAGGCAATAAAAAGAAATAAAAGGCATAAACACTATAAAGGAAAAAGTAAAACTGTATTTGCAAATGACATAATTATATACGTAGAAAGTCTTAAGGAAATGTACAAAAAAGCTACCAGAACTAATAAGTGAATGTAGCAATGGCACAGGATACAAAGTCAATATGCAAAAAATCAATTCTATTTCTGTTTATTAGCCACAATTTAAAAATTATTTTAAATACCACATGCTAATACCTCCGAAAACATAAAGACTTACAGTGGAAACTATGAAATGCTATAGAAATGAATGGAAAAATATTCCATTTTCAAACACCAGAAACCAAAATACTGTTGAGATGGCATTACTCCCTGAGTTGATCTATACTATAGATTTAATGCAATTCTAGTCAAAAAACTCCAAAGTAGGCTAGGCTTTGTGCATGTGTGTGTGCGTGTGTGTGTTATGTGTATCCATGAGCATGTATGTGCATGTGTGTGTGGAAATAGGCAATCTGATTCCAAAATATATACATATACAAGCAAAGGACCTAGAATAGCCAAAACAATCTGAAAAAACAAAGAAATAGGAGGCCTTATGCCACCTGATTTCAAGACATACTATATAGTCATAATAATCAAGACTACGGTATTAGGCAAAAAATCAGACATGAATCAGTGGAAATAAAGAGAATCCAGAACACATATATATGGTCAAATCATTTAACAAAGATGCCAAAGCAACTCAAGATGGGGGGAAAAAATGTCTCCTCAAAAAATGGGTATCAGAAAAACCAGATATCCATATCCAATGGAGGGGAAAAAAATGAACCTCCACCCCTAACTAATACCAATACAAAATATTTCAAGATCACAAACCTACATGTAAAATATAAAACTTTAATGCATCCAGAGAAAAACAATCAAATATCACCTTGACTTAGGGTAACAAAGACTCCCTACTCTGAAAGAGACTAACCATAAAATAGAAATACTGAGTATCATCAAAATTTCAAAATTCTACTCATCAAAAGATACTATTCAGAAAATGAAAAGACAAGCCAGTTTGGAAGAAAACATTCTTAACACTTATTTCTGACAAAAGACTTGCATCTAAAATATATAAAGAACTCCTATAATTTAATGAAAAAAGAAAAACAATTCAGTAAAAAATGGGCAGATTAAACACTTCCATGTACAAAGATATTTGAATGGCCAATAAGCATATTATAAAATGTTCAACACCGATCATTAGAGAAATGCTAATTAAAAGCACAATAACATACCACCACACACCCACTAAAATGGCTAAAATTAAAAAGATAAATAAACAACACCAAATTTTGGTAAAGGTGTGGAGCAACCAAAATTCTCACACATTTGCTGGGGAGAGTAAAATAGTACAACCACTTTGGAAAACAATTTAGCAGTTTCTCATGAAACAAAATATGCACCTACCCTGTGACCCAGTAATTCTACTTCCAGTTATTAAACATATGCCCAACAGGGCGCCTGGGTGGCTCAGTTGGTTAAGCGACTGCCTTCGGCTCAGGTCATGATCCTGGAGTCCCGGGATCGAGTCCCACATCGGGCTCCCTGCTCAGCAGGCAGTCTGCTTCTCCCTCTGACCCTCTTCCCTCTCGTGCTATCTCTCATTCTCTCTCTCTCTCAAATAAATAAATAAAATCTTTAAAAAAAAGTTAAAAAAAAACCCGTATGCCCAACAGAAAAAGCCTTATACAAGAATGTGCATAGCAATTTTATTTATAATAGCCCAAAAGTGAAAGCAGTCCAGATATATCCATCCACAAGGAGAATGAATTAAAGAAAAAAAACAAAAAACAGTACACTCATACAAAAGAATACTACTTAACAAAAAAAAGAGCAAACTTCCTCTACACAGTACAAGCCAATCTTAAAAAGCATTATCCTGAATCAATGAAGCCAGGAACAAAAGAGTACATACCATATATTCCGTTTATATAAGAAAACTGTACAGGCAAAACTAATCTGTGGTGAGAGAAACGAGACCTGTGATTGCTTTGGCAGGAGTGGGAGTGTTTGGGAAGGGCCCTAACTTTCTGGGGTGATGGAAATGTTCTATAGCTTGATAAAAGTGTAAGTTACACAGATGTCTAGATTTGTCAAACCTGATCAAACTGTGCATTTAAGTTCTGTGAATTTCACTGTGTAAATTACATCTCATTTTTTTTAAGTTATATTTAAAAAAGAAGTTGGTTGAAGTCAATTATAAATTATGTTCCAATCTGGAAAGAAGTGCATACTTAAGAGACAACTCAAAGGTGATATTAAAGTATCTAATAAAATGAAATTTAGTACAATGACATATGACAACTACAAAATCAGATCTGATCTAAACATTCAAATGTATTTAGAACACAAAATAAATAAATTAAAAAGTGTAAAAATGACTTTGGTAAAGTGCACAAGTAAGCCTCACCCACAGTCAGACATATTTGCAATACATGCACCGCTCCTTCTTGTTTCAGAAAGTTCATAAAACGAAATAAGAGATCTTGCTGCTCTCTGATTTGCTTCAATTCTAACTTCAGCACCTTAACACAATACGGGAGAAGAGTAAGTTAAGGCCATATAAACACATGATAAAATTGTTTATATCAAAAATAATATACATTATTGCTAAAAATACTTACAGACGGCTTTTTATTTCTAGGTTCTGCAAATTTCTGCAAGAATGGAACCAAGGGGGAAGGCAGTTCAGTTGCTTTTTCAGGCTTTAAGAAAGAGAATTTATTAATTCAATAAAAGTGCCATGTGCTTTGACAGATATGAATCAAAATTCATACTTAATACTCAATACTCACTGGACTGTCATCTATGAAGATGATAAGCAAATGATTCACAGTATCCTAATGGAAAATAATACACATGGGTCAAAATAATCCCATTACTATATCCTTTTTTTTTTTTAAGATTTTATTTATTTATTTGACAGAGAGAGACACAGAGAGAGAGGGAACACAAGCAGGCAGAGTAGGAGAGGAAGCAGGCCTCCCATGGACTAGGGAGCCCGATGCGGGGCTCGATCCCAGGACCCTGGGATCACGACCTGAGATGAAGGCAGATCCTTAACGACTGAGCCACCCAGGCGCCCCCCATTACTAATATTCTGCCTAAAATTCTCAAAGCATTTTTCATATTGTGAAAGTTTCTAGAAAAATGAAGAAGCAAATGGAACAGTGGCAAAGCATTTGCACATATGTAACATAGAGGGACTTTAAAAAATCTGCAATGCAGGGGGTGCCTGGGTACCTCAGTCAGTTGAGCATCTGACTCTTGGTTTTGGCTCAGGTCATGATCTCAGGGTTGTGGTATTGAGCCCCATGTTGGGCTCCACACTCAGCAGGGAGTCTGCCTGGGATTCTCTCTCCCTCTCCCTCCGCCCCTGCCCCAGCTCATGCTCACACATTCTCTCTCTCAAATAAATAAATACTTTTTTAAAAAATGTGATGCAGGGTCTCACTTTTTGGAAAGTGGGCAAAGAAAAGTTATTCTGACTTCAGCATTTAAAGTGTTTATAAATTATTCCTGTTGCTTCAAAATCTTATTGGTTCAAAAGTAAAAGTAATTCAAGTGTGTATCAATGGATGCATAAATAGCAAAATGTGGTATATACCTACAATGGAATATTATACAGCCTTGATAAGGAACAAAATTCTAATATATGCTACAATGTGGATGAATCTTGGGGACATTATGCTAAGGGAAATAAGGCAGTCACAAAAAGACAATGCATGGACCCACTTATAGGAGGTACCAGAGTAGTCAAATTCATAGAGATAGAAGTATGTTGGTGGTTGCCAAGGGACTGGGGGAAAGAAGAATGGAGAATTATTAATGGGTATAGAATTTTAGTTTTGTAAGATGAAAGAGTTCTAGAGATGCGTAGTAGTGATGGTTGCTCAACAATGAATGTACTTAATACCACTGAACTGTACACATAAAAACATTTAAGATGATAAACTTTATATGTATTTTACCACAAATTAAAACCACTTTTTAAGCCTTACTGGATCAGCTAGGAAATCCAAAGAAGGAAGGAATACCGAACCGGAAAGGATCTCTCTTAAAAGTAAGGTCAGGGATCTGGAAAAACAAACAATATTGCACATATTTAGTGATTTACATCAGTTCTTACCTGGAGATCTTGTTAAAATGCAGACTATGATTCAGTAGGTATGCCCCAAGATTCCGCATTTCTAAAAAGCTCCCAAGTAATGCTCATGCTAGTGGTTCACAGACCATACCTGGATTCCTGAACTGGCTAAAAGAAAGCATTGCTTAAGAGGAAAAAGCATTTCCTTAACAGGAGGGATTTGGGTGAACATTAGAAAACACTCCCCACCTCAGAAAATTTAAAATATTTAATATATTTTAAAATTAATGTTTAAAACTAGTAATACAATTTGTAATTATAATAAATTAACATTATACATTAATCTGTTTAAAATATTTTCATTAAAATATTTTAAATTTTTAAAATTTTTAATAAAAACTTTATGTTATGGGGTGACTGGGTGGCTCACTATGTTAATTAAGCATCTGCCTTTGGCTCATGTAGTGATCCCAAGTTACTGGGATCGAGCCCTAAGTCGGGCTTCCTGCTCAGCAGGGAGCCTGCTCCCTTAGATTATTAGAATAATCTAAACAAATTCCTGCCAGAACAAGGAACAATGGTCTAGATGAATTCTAATTATTCTTGCCAGGTATAACCTTAAAACACAACTTTGGTTTGGTCTGTTTAGTTTTTTGTTTTGTTTTATTTTTAAGATTTTATTTCACTGACAGAGAGAGACACAGCAACAGAGGGAACACAAGCAGGGAGAGCGGGAGAGGGAGAAGCAGGCTTCCCACTGAGCAAGGAGCCCAACGCGGCGCTCGATCCCACAGCCCTGGGATAACAACGCGAGCTGAAGGTAGATGCCCAGAGACTGAGCCACCCAGGCGCTCCAGGTCTATTTAGTTTATTCAAAGTGTTTCTGCCAATGAGTCACAATGTTTATGTCTTTAAAATGGAACACCAAGAAATTAACAAAGTATAACGATCTCAAATAAAAAAGCTGATTTTATTCATATTTATCTTGATTTCCCAAGATCACCTCCCCCCCAGCAAAAAAATTCTAAGCAACACAACATATGTTGTTGTGTGTATCACCTAAAATGGCATTTTAATACCTGACAAATTATATTTCTTAAATGAAAATCATCATAGGTTAATCTCAAGTTTTAGTGTACTCCTATTATGATCAAGAATAACAATATACATATGTCATGGTATGCAAATACTGCTATGACATTTTCTGGACTATTTATACCTGCAGTCTGTTGCTTTAGGAGGCAAAATATAAGGAAAAAGTAGTTCAGTAAGTTTCCTTAAATAGTGTAATTCATCTCTTCGACTCCTCAAAGCCACATGAAGCTCTGGACCATATTCTTCTAAAGCAGCTTGCTGTAAAAACTCTGTATTTTCTACTATAAATAGAGATAAAAAAATAAATATTGAAAGAAGTTAAGTAACATTAAATAACTTCAGTCATTTCCACTAACAAACAGAAAACCATTTATACAGTCATTCCTTTCCTAGCCCTCCCTTCTTTCCAACATGTATTCTACTGGGAAATTTTTCAAAAAGGATATAAAAGAACAATTTTCCTCCTTCCCATAAGTTTTTTAATTTTGCAAAAAATTGATAAAAAGACCTTTTCCCATGGCAAACAAGAATTTTAACTCATATCACTACTTTACAAATGATATTAAACAAAAGCAAATATTTATTTTAAAAAGAGGAGAAAACTACAGAAAACTTCTAGCACATCCCAAGGCATTGTTATCAAATGTTATACCTTGTTCATCCTCTGCAAATACACACACACACACACACACACACACACACACACACACAAAAACGCTGTTAAAACTCTTTGTTGTCTGCCAGCAAATTAGACAATCTGGAAGAAATGGATGCATTCTTAGAGATGCATAAACTACCAAAACTGAACCAGGAAGAAATGGAAAACCTGAACAGACCCATAACTACTAAGGAAACTGAAGTGGTAATCAAAAATCTCCCAACAAACAAGAGCCCAGGGCCAGATGGCTTCCCAGGGGAATTCTACCAAACATTTAAAGAAGAATTAATACCTACTCTTCTGAAACTGTTCGAAAAAATAGAAATGGAAGGAAAACTTCCAAACTCATTTTATGAGGTCAGAATTACCTTGATCCCAAAACCAAAGAGCCCATCAAAAAGGAGAATTACAGACCAATATCCCTGATGAACACAGATGCAAAAATTCTCACCAAAATACTAGCCAAGAGGATCCAACAGTACATTAAAAGGATTATTCACCACGACCAAGTGGGATTTATTCCTGGGCTGCAAGGTTGGTTCAACATCCGCAAATCAATCAATGTGATACAATACATTAATAAAAGAAAGAACAAGAACCATATGATACTCTCAATGATGCAGAAAAAGCATCTGAGGGGCGCCTGGGTGGCTCAGTTGTTAAGCGTCTGCATTCGGCCCAGGTCACGATCCCAGGTTCCTGGGGTCAAGCCCCACATTGGGCTCCCTGCTCAGCGGGAAGCCTGCTTCTCCCTCTCCCACTCCCCATGCTTGTGTTCCCCTCTCGCTGTGTTTCTGTCAAATAAATAAGTAAAATTATAAAAAAAAAGAAAACTCCTCACAGTGTAGGGATAGAGGGTACATATCTCAGTATCATAAACGCCATCCATGAAAAACCCACAGTGAGTATCATTCTCAACGGGGAAAAACTGACAGCTTTCCCCCTACGGTCAGGAACACGGCAGGGATATCCACTATCACCACTGCTATTCAACATAGTATTAGAAGTCCTAGCCTCAGCAATCAGACAACAAAAAGAAATAAAAGGCATCGGAATTGGCAAAGAAGAAGTCAAACTCTCATTCTTTGCAGATGATATGATTCTTTACATGGAAAAACCTAAAAACTCCACCCCAAACTGCTAGAACTCATACAGGAATTCAGTAAAGTGGCAGGATATAAAATCAATGCACAGAAATCAGTGGCATTCCTATACACCAACAACAAGACAGAAGAGAGAGAAATTAAGGAGTCAATCCCATTTACAATTGCACCCAAAACCGTAAGATACCTAGGAATAAATCTAACAAAAGAGGCAAAGAATCTGTACTCAGAAAACTATAGAATACTCATGAAAGAAATTGAGGAAGACACAAAGAAATGAAAAAATGTTCCATGCTCATGGATTGGAAGAACAAATATTGTGAAAATGTCTATGAGACCTAGAGCAATCCACACATTTGATGCAATCCCTATCAAAATGCCATCAACTTTTTTCAAAGAAATGGAACAAATAATCCTAAAATTTTTATGGAACCAGAAAAGACCCTGAATAGCCTGAGGAATGTTGAAAAAGAAAAGCAAAGCTGGTGGTATCAAAATTCCAGACTTCAAGCTCTATTACAAAGCTGTCATCATCAAGACAGTATGGTACTGGCACAAAAACAGACACATAGATCAATGTAACAGAATAGAGAGCCCAGAAATGGACCCTCAACTCTATGGTCAACTAATCTTCGACAAAGCAGGAAAGAAGATCCAGTGGAAAAACAACAGTCTCTTCAACAAATGGTGTTGAGAAAACTGGACAGCCACATGCAGAAGAATGAAACTGGACCATTTCCTTACACCACACACAAAAATAGACTCAAAATTGATGAAAGACCTAAATGTGAGACAGGAATCCATCAAAATCATAGAGGAGAACACAGGCAGCAACCTCTTCGACCTCAGCACAGCAACTTCTTCCTAGAAACATTGCCAAAGGCAAGGGAAGCAAGGGCAAGAATGAACTATTGGGATTTCATCAAGATAAAAAGCTTTTGCACAGCAAAGGAAACAGTCAACAAAACCAAAAGACAACTGACAGAATGGGAGAAGATATTTGCAAATGACATATCAGATAAAGGGCTAGTATCCAAAATCTATAAAGAACTTATCAAACTCAACACCCAGAGAACAAATAATCCAATCAAGAAATGGGCAGAAGACATGAACAGACATTTTCTACAAAGAAGACAACCAAATGGCCAACAGACACATGAAAAAGTGTTCAACGTTACTCGGCATCAGGGAAATACAAATCAAAACCTCAATGAGATACCCCCTCGCACCAGTGAGAATGGCTAAAATTAACAAGTCAGGAAACAACAGATGTTGGTAAGGATGTAGAGAAAGGGGAACCCTCCTACACTATGAGTGGGAATGCAAGCTGGTGCAGCCACTCTGGAAAACAGTACGGAGGTACCTAAAAAGTTGAAAACAGAGCTACCCTACAACCCAGCAATTGCACTACTGGGTATTTACCCCAAGGATACAAATGTAGTGATCCGAAGGGGCACATGCACCCCAATGGTTATAGCAGCAATGTCCACAATAACCAAACTATGGAAAGAGCCTAGATGTCCATCAACAGATGAATGGATAAAGAAGATGTGGTATACATACACACACACACACACACACACACACACACACACACACACACACCTTGGAATATTATGCAGCCATCAAAAAATTAAATCTTGCCATTTGCAACAACGTGGATGGAACTAGATGGTATTGTGCTAAGCAAAATAAGTCAATCAGAGAAAGACAATTATCATATGATCTCACTGATATGAGGAATTTGAGAAACAAGACAGAAGTTCATAGGGAAAGGGAGGGAAAAATGAAAAAGGATGAAATCAGAAAGGGAGACAAACAATAAGAGAGACTTTTAATCTCAGGAAACAAACTGAGGGTTGCTGGAGTGGAGGGTGGGGAGGGATGGGATGGCTGGGTGATGGACATTGGGGAGGGTATGTGCTATGGTGGGTGCTGTGAATTGTGTAAGACTGATGAATCAGACCTGTACCCCTGAAACAAATAATACATTATATGTTAATATAAATAAATAAATAAATAAAACTCTTTGTTGTCTCTACTTCCACATCTAAATCATTCAGGTAACCTTTTAAAGCTTTGGCTTCCTTGGTTAAGTTCTGTGTCTTCTGCTCAAGAGTATAGGATATAATAGGTACAGAACTGTGTAAAATAGAAGTCCATGAACAGATAAATTACTTAATGAATATTAAGTCGTGATAAAACTTATATTAACAGAAAGTTTTCTTAAAAGTCCAAGTACTAAACTAATATTTTAGAGAAAGAGAGCAAGTGCAGGGAGGGGGGAGTGGGGGGCAGAGGGGAAGCATCTTTTTTTTTTTTAAGATTTTATTTATTTATTTGAGAGACAGAGAATGAGAGATAGCATGAGAGGGAAGAGGGTCAGAGGGAGCAGCAGACTCCCTGCCAGGCGCCCAGAGGGGAAGCATCTTAAGCAGACTCTGTGCTGAGTGTGGAGCCTGACACCAGGCTGGATCTCATGATCATGACCTAAGCCAAAATCAAAGAGTCGGAGGCTTAACTGACTGAGTCACCCAGGCATCCCAAACTAATATTTTAACTTAAAGGTAATAATATTGTCACTTCTTTTTACAGACCTCAAACGACAAGGAGGAAAACAAGTTATGCTTTCCCTTATTTGCACTCTGTGCGAGGTTTTAAAATCATGGAGTCTATGAAAGGAATCTAAACTCTAATTCAGTGGCATTTATTTTTAACTATTTTCTTCTATTTTTATTCAAAAAGAATGCAAGCACATTTACCCAAAAAAGCCAATATATGCATTCAAATAGTGTTAGTACTAAGAAGGTAAATGAAGGCTATCAGTGCCTGAGGTACAAAAGACGGATGTAGTTATTACAAGAAATGCATTTTATTTCATAATTATGCAATTATTTACTAAGCATTTTTCTCCAAGAATTTGGGGCACAGATTATTTAAAAATGTATGTCATAAAGCCAGAATTTAAAATGAGACTAAGCCATGCTAAATTCCAGCTCTACTTAACAAACTGATCTTGAACAAATGATATAATGCCTATGAGCCTCAGTTCCCACATTACAGTTAAGCAATTATAAACACTGAAAAGTCATAATGCAAAATGTATAAGTAATTATAACATTCAACGTGATTAAGCATTCACACATAATATATAAATTAAAACACAAGACTGGAATCTATTCAACATCTGTCAGACATGAGAGTTTTTTGAAGTTCTAGATAATGAGAAAATAAAGAAATCAGGCAAAAGATAAAAGAATATAGGGAGGAAAATCTTAATTGGGAATATAAGCAAAAAAAATGCTGGAAAACACAGCATGGATTAATCCCCACTAATCATCAGTCCATCTACTGCCTTATCAGTTAGCAGTTTTCAGACCAAAACAGGAAAGGTCTCCGGAATCCATGACAAAGAGATACCTTCAGGATGAAAGACTGGAGAGTAAGGTCCTTCTGCACAATTTATTACTGAATTTAAATTAAGCCAATGCTTCTAATGTATATACATTCAGTATTTCTAAAGGGCCATGAGAGTACACACATAGACAGAAAACATCTATATAATCCCTCTTCTCAAGAGACAGATTACAGAGAAAACCCTGAGAGAGTAAAAGGAATCTGAATGAAGAGATGAACCTTTAATTACTTTCTGAGTTATGCACAATTGTGGGGCCAAAGAATTTTGAAAACAAGTTTATGCATTAAAGAAATGAAAATTCAAAAATCTGATAACCTTTTTTACAAGTCTATCTAATTCATTGTCGTAATACTTAGAATACCAGGACCTTTAAATAAAAGTCCTTCTAAACTCAGGCCTTTTAATTCTATGAATCTCATTAACTACAATGTTATTAATTAATCGAATCTAGCATTTTACGGTGATTTTATAATTGGGAATCGTTTTTTGCATTAATAGTAGCAAATTAGCAAACCCTCCCTTGTAAAGACTCAACAATAAATTTCAAACTGGTTTGTGTGTGAATGTGCATATATATATAATACCACTCTCTTAGAAATAAAGTAATTTGGGAATTTTATTAAACTGATTAATTCAACTAAAAATAAAAAGATGTCTACTTTACTCATAGCCTGCAAAGTGTTTGTCTTTAGAACAAAAACTATATTAAAAATACTTCTCCCACATAAAAACCTGCACACAAATGTTTATAGCAGCTTTATTCATAACTGCCAAAACTTGGAAGCAAGATGTACTTCAATAGGTGAATGGATAAATAAACTGTGGCACATTCATACACTGGAATATAACTGAGCAGTAAAAAGAAATGAGCTATTGAGCCATGAAAAGACATGGAGGAGACTTAAATCCATATTTTTAAATAAAAGAAGCCAGTCTGAAAAGGTTACAGTATGATTCCAACTATATCACATTCTGGAAAAGGCAAAACTGTGCAAACAATAAAAAGATCAATGGTTACCAGAGGTTCATGAAGGAAAGAGGGAGAGATGTCTGTGTGAAACAAAGGGTTTTTTTTTTTTTTAAGATTTTATTTATTTATTTGACGGAGAGAAAGAGAGCACAAGTAGGGAGAGCAGCAGGGAGAGGGAGAGGGAGAAGCAGGCTCCCCACTGAGCAAGGAGCCCCATGTGGAACCCAATCCCAGAACCTCGGGATCATGACCTGAGGCAAAGGCAGATACTTAACCGACTGAGCCACCCAGGCCTCTGGAAATACAGGGGATTTTTAAGACAGTGAAACTATTCAGTAATGGTGGATACATGGCATTAAGCATTTGTCAAAACCCACATAATGTACAATACAAAGAGTAAACCCTAATGAAAACTGTGGACTTTAGTTAATAATAATGTATCAATATTGGTATATCAATAGTAACAAATGTACCAACTAATACAAGATGTTAACAGGGGAAAAGAGAGAGAGCTATGGGCACTCTCTATACTTTCTCAATTTTTGTATAAACTTAAAACTGCTGTAAAAAATAAAATTTACTGGGGCACCTGGCTGGCTCAGCCAGTGAATCATGTGACTTGATTTCCAGGTTGTGAGTTTGAACCCTATGTTGTGTGTAGAGGTTATTTAAAAATAAAATCTTTAAAAAGAGTAATAATAATAATAGGGTGCCTCGGTAGCTCAATCAGTTAAGTGTCTGCCTTTAACTCAGGTCATGATCCCAGGGCCCAGGGATCAAGTCCCGCATCGGGCTCCCTGCTCATCTGGGAGTCTGCTTCTCCCTCTACTCCTCACCCCTGCTCGTGATCTCTCTCTCTCTCACTGTCTCTCTCAAATAAATAAAATCTTTAAAAATAATAATATAAATAAATTTACTAATAAAAAAAACCACTTTTCCTATGTTGTTTTTTTTTGCTGATAGTAAAGTAGCCTCGACAAAATAGCTACAAGATAATTACTATCTTCTGATTTGTTTTTGCCAGTGACAGGACACTGATTTTTAAGTTAATTTTTTTATTCAACAATTAAATTACACATATTCAAACTCTTCTACTTTAGTACTATGTTGAAAGTAACTATTTTTAGTTGTTGTAATATTATAAGATGAACACAGAAAAAGATTTTAAATATATATATAATTTGAAATGCTTCTCAAAACTGAGGAATTATTCATACCAAGAAACAAATAAAGTAATAATTTGATTTTTACTTCCTCTGCCTAGAACATAATTTCCCCAAATGAACTGCTTATATTAACTGATATCATGAGGGAAGGAAAATTGGTTCTGTACTCAAATGAATTTGGGATGTAGGAAGTTAAAAAACTATTTAAACAGTTAAAGCCATTTCTTTGCTGTAGGACTACTCAGAGATTTTGGTATGGTGGTATTTGCTGGGAATTTCCATAAGGGGAATATAATGTGTAGTAATTACCAGAAAATATGACCATGAAACCTCTTCTACACAGTTACTACATGGAGTAGTATGCAGTATTGAAAAGAATACCAAAAGCATTTGGGAAAGCACTCACAAAGAATACCAAATGCAAACACAAGGAAAATCAGTTTTGCAAAGAACCAAGTATAGAGCACAGAAGTAATTTTGTTAAAAAAAAATATTCAGTTTGATCTAAGAGCAAGAAAAATCCCAAATGAAGATTTCATTCATTCAATCATAAAACATTTGCTGAATGTATGCTATGTGCAAATCATGACAGTATAAAGGCCAGGACATTCACAAAAAACTGCAAAGAGGTGATCCCAGCCAACACATAATACATAGTGAAAGACAAGAATAAATCAAAATATTTGACTAGAGAGTATTTAAATATACAATTTAGATTCTAAGAGTCACTAAATTTTTTTTAGTAGAGAGATAACATGAGAATTGTGGTAGTGTGAAATTAACATGGTAGCAATATATAGGATGGGCTGGAATAGGTCAAAACTATTGAAATCATTAAGAAGAGAAAGGGGGAAGAGATGTGAGAGATACCTCAGAGGGAGTAATAAAGGCAACAGACTGTCATCCAAAAGAAGATGAAAGTCATCAATAGTATATCTAAAAGTTAACTATCTTTTAATTTTCATAGATTCCTGAGTTTTCACAATCACTTATACAATAAACAAAGTATTAAAAAAGGATTTTAGTTTAAAGGAATACTTTCACAGCATTTGTGAATATCAGTTAATGCATCAGTAATCATACATAGGTATTTAAGGTGAAAGCTGGTATATAAAAATCACTCAAACTTTGTAGTAGAAAACTGTTATTACCTTTCTGACTGGCTTTAACTATCACCTCTATATGCTTCATTGCTGCTTTTAATAATTTCTTGGTTATAATAGATGGAATATCCACCTAGAAAAATTCAACATTAGAATAAAACTTTTAAAACAATTATCAATGAGTTACAATGGCAGGAGCACTATATTTAAGATACTGGAACACATGATCTTAAAAATTAGAGATATTTAGAATCTTTCAAAAATATAATTTAAAAGTGCTTTATATTCTTGGATCATACTAACTACAACTTTATAGACAGTTTCTCTAACACACTGAAGAAAATATATCTTAATATGCATGCACTATGTATACTAAATTTTCCCACAAAATATTATCTTTATTCTTGATTTCTTTAATGTTTCTTTTAAACATATTGAAAGAAAAATCTCAAGTAATTTAACACTTTGGGGCCATAAATTTCTGTTTATTAAGGTTACTTAAAGATTAAGTATTTTTATTCAGCTTACAAGATAAATCTTGGTTTTAAGCTATATAGAAGCATTCTACTTTGGAATGATATTCAATTTCATGATTCTCCACAGACATTTTTCAGCTTAAAGGCTAGAAACTGTAGTGACTGTGGTAGGTTAGTGATGGAGGACTGAAGGCTTAGATGTACACACATAAGAGAGACAAAAAATAACTAAAACTAAATTGGAAATAAAATGAATCACCAAAAAGCATGTTTACTGGACTTCAACAGGCTTATCTCCTTCCACAAAACTCAACACATTTTCCCTTTATCAAAGGCATGAAAAAACTGCATCACAGCTAAGTTTTGTATTAATGTTTCAATTATTTTTAAATTCCATATTAAGGAAGGGGGAAATCACAGGCTAATAAATCTAATAAGTATGGTGGATCATAAACCCCCAATATTTAGTGATTTACCAGTAAAACCCAGAGCAGTTCACAGGTATCTTTTAGCTATGTAAGATCAAACATATTCAGTAAGTGGGAATATTTCTGTTAGTAGTATACCTTGTTGCAAATAACATTACTCTTCATTTCTCTCTGGCTTCTTGTCCTCAATGACTATAGGCTGCTGTAATATTTATCAAATAAACAGGATGTTTTCATTTTCAAACATTTTATAAAATCTTGTCTTCTGAGAATACTCATGAAAATTTTCCTTTTTAAGTTCCACTTTAGAGACTTCAGGTCAGAATCAAAATGGTAAAATAATGGGCTCATCACTAAACTTCAATTTAAAAAAAAAAAAAAACACACTGTGGATGATTCTTTGTTTTCATTATCCCCAAAGTGCCAATTTATATTATTTAGGCAATGGTATCAGGGACAGAACATTGTACTAGGAATAAGATGACCAGGCATAATTGTTGGCCCATTAACTACTACTCTGACACTTTGACAAAGGTACTTTCTATAAAATGGGTATGATAATGATCCACTTATCTGCTGGGACAGTGATGCAGATAAAATGAGAAGAAAGGATAGAAAGTTTAACCAACCAGAAAACAGAAGAAAATATTTGCAAATCATATGTATGAACTCTTACAACTCAATAATACATAGACAACCCAGTTAAAAAATAGGCAAAGAATCTGAATAGACATCACTCCAAAAAAAAAGATATACAAATGGCCAATAAGCAAATGAAAAGATGTTCAATGTCATAAGTCATCAGGGAAATGCAAGTCAAAGCCACAATGATACCACTTCATACCCATTAGGCATGGTTGGAATAAAAAAATGAGATAATAACTAGTTCTGGCAAGGATATAGAGAAATCAGAACCCTCATATACTACTGATGGGAATGTAAAATGGTGCAGCCACTTTGAAGAGTCTGGCAGTTAATCAAAAACTGAAATAGAGTTACCATTCAACAATAATACTCCTAAGTATATACACAAGAAAAATGAAAACATATATCCCTACAACCATCAAAAACACTTGTACACAAATGCTATGGCAGCATTATCCATAATAGCAAAAAAGTGGAAATAATCCAAATGTCCATCAACTGATGGATGAATAAACAAAATATGGCATATCCACACAATGGAATATTATTTAGACATAAAAAAAGAAGTACTGATACATGCTACATCATAACATGGATGAACTTTGGAAACATTATTCCAAGTCAAAATAACCAATCAGAACAGGCCACATATTACATGATTCCATTTATATGAAATGTCCAGAATAAACAAATCTATAGAGACAGAAAGTAGACTGGCTATTGGCTAGATCTAAAAGGATGAGAGAACAAGGGTTTATGGCTAAGGGGTATGAGGTCTCTTTTGGGTGATAAAAATGTTATAAAATTGTGGTGATGGCTGTGTAAATCCAGAAATATGCTAAAAACCATTGAATTATACACTTTAAATAGGTGAACTGTCTGGTATACAAAGTAGACCTCGATAAAGCTGTTACCAAAAAATACATATAATGCAATCCAAGTATGAAGTACTTTGATTTTAAAATCACTAAGCTATTGCAAAGCCTAACAGAGCAGAGCTATTCTACTAAGTAATACCTATAAATTTACTGTAATGAGTCAGCTTTTTGATCATTTTATTTGACTTACTCTAAGCTGTAATTTAAGTGGCTTATCATCAACCAATTGATATTTTTACCAAATCTTTTATTCCAGTTAAATAGTCTATACAGCTGCCTTAGACCTTTATTAAACAAGATGATTAATTTTATCAACTTGTTTCTATTTATAAAATGGTAAAAAAACTCATACCAAAAAAAAAAGGTGAACAGAAAGAAATGCACAAAAGGAACCAAAAATCAGCATCAACCCACCATGAAAGAGTTAACAGTGATAAGGATATATATGTGTCCTTAATATACATATTAACAAGCTTTAATATGTGAGCTTTGTTTTCAATGTGGAAAAATACCACATATATTATTTTCCAGCCTCTTCTACCTGATTATGTAAGAAAAATAATTTCTCATGTAAATAAGTACTATTCTATAAAATGATTTTTCACGGCTGCACAGAATTCTGTAATTGGCATGTACTATATATATATATATATATATATTTTTTTTTTTTTAAGATTTTATTTACTTGAGAGAGAGAATGAGAGAGAAAGAGAGCACATGAGAGGGGGAGGGTCAGAGGGAGAAGAAGACTCCCCGCTCAACAGGGAGCCCGATGCGGGACTCAATCCCGGGACTCCAGGATCATGACCTGAGCTGAAGGCAGTCACTTAACCAACTGAGCCACCCAGGCGCCCTGGCATGTACTATATTTTAATCAACAATCTTATCATTAGACGTCAGCTTTTCTTTTCAGTTTTCCTTAGTATAAATTATACTACAATGAATCTTTGGGCATACATTTTTACATACATCTGTGATTATTTCTTTAAAATATATTAACAAAAACAGAATTAAATTTGGGAGTATAGACATTTTTAAGTCTTTTAATAAAGATTACCAAACTGCCTTCCAGTATAAGAATTATAGCAATTTGAGATTAAGAATTCCTCATATCCGTGAGATCATATGATACATGTCTTTCTCAGATTGATGAGAGGGATGGGGTGGCTGGGTGATAGACATTGGGGAGGGTATGTGCTATGGTGAGCACTATGAATTGTGTAAGACTGATGAATTACAGACCTGTACCTCTGAAACAAGTAACACATTATATGTTAAAAAAAAAAAAAAGAAGAAGAAGAAGATAGCAGGAAAGGAAAAATGAGGGGGGCGGAATCGGAGGGAGAGACGAACCATGAGAGACTATGGACTCTGAGAAACAAACTAAGGGTTCTAGAGGGGAGAGGGTGGGAGGATGGGTTAGCCTGGTGATGGGTATTAAAGAGGGCACGTACTGAATGGAGCACTGGGTGTTATACACAAGCAATGAATCATGGAACACTACATCAGAAACTAATGATGTGATGTATGGTGATTAACATAATAAAATAAAATTTAATTTAAAAAATTTAAAAAAAAGAATTATACCAATTTGAATTTGTACTTGCTTTGCCTGTTTCCCCACAATCACCATTACTAGACATTATCATTCTTTATCGTTCCCAATCTGACAGGCAACAGAATAGCACCTCATCAAAAAACGGTATTTATTTGATGTGAGACAACATATTTTCAAGAATTTATTGGCCATTTTTCTATTTTTCTTTGGTGAACTGCTTATTCATATTTTTTGCATATCTTTTCTATAGTGGTTGACTATAGTGTTAATTTCTTAAGTATAGAAACATTTAACAAGATTTACATTTACTAATTGCAGATATATACCAATTCTATCAAATGGACAAGGCAGTATACAGTGTCTACAGCCAACACACTGTAACTATATATAGGCAAAGACCCAAACATAAACATAATATGGCTTAAAAAATTTTTTTTAAAAAGTAGATCATAATCATCACCATTTACCCAGTAAATTCATCTAACAGGAACATGACTTTTTTTTTTATAGCTGTCTTTTTATTTTTAATTACCACAAACCAGGATAAAGCATTAAAGAAAGCACAATTTATCAATTAATTAAAAGTGACCCATTTATCTTTTAATCTAAAAAAATTAAAAGTGAAAAAAATACATACAGTATAGGATAAAGTAAAACTAAGATTTTTAAAAATCTCTTCAGTAATAATAAAACCCCAAATTCCCAAATTTCTCATTATAAATATATACCTTGTGAATCCTTCGAATTAAGACAGATGCAAAAAACCGTAATGTAATTCTCAGTTCATCAACAAAGGACTCATCATCTGTTACATCCCTTCAATTAAGGAGAAAAGCAAGCATTTAAAAGCTCAGAGAAATACACAGCTACTCCTTCTAGAAACCAAGGAAAGTTTAGAACTTCCTCTTTTTTTTCATTTATTTATGCTATTTTTCTTTGCTTTTTTAACAAATAATGCATTACATTACAGAATAAAAAATAAAAATGTACAAAGAAAAAATAGACATCTCCCATAATTCTAGTACCAAGACAAAATCATTATTAACTAAATTGTAGTATATACTTCCCTGTAGACAACCACATGTACAAAGTCGTATTTTTACAATACTCCAATCATTTTCTAAGCATTATCAAAGAAATTTCTAAGAAATAAAAAATAATTTCGGAGGAGTAACAATTAAATTAATACAAAATTTTAAGTTAGTTTAATATATTTATAGTTAATAATATAAACTAATTCTAAAAGGTAAAAAAAATATGTGTTCTATTTGAGAAAGAAAATAAGCTGAAACTCAAACATTTTTAAACAGAAATTTTGACAACCTTCTTCTGAGGAGCTACTTTTCATTTTCCTGAAATCTTGAGGTCCCTAGAAGAATGAGGGGGTGCTACTAGTATCTCATGTGAAAAGGCCAGGGGTTCTGCTAAATATCCCATAATGCACAGGACAGCCCCCCACAACAAAAAATTACTTGGCCTAAAACGTCAATAGTGTCAAAGCTGAGAAATCCTGGCCACTGTTGGTAACACTTCATTAGCACACTTAATTGTATTCACTAAAGAAAAAAGGTCTTATAGAGAGAACATACCTGTACCACGGATAAACAAAGTTTTCCAACACTAATTCAAGAACCTGCATAAAAATTAGTTTTTAAAGAAAAATCAAATTAATTAACTAATTCTAGGAAAATAAGCCATACTACCAAGTAATATATATTACCAAGAACCAATTTTATTATCCCAAATATTGACATCTAATATATCTTCACATGACATACATTGTCAACCTTACATGTTTGTTGTGATGATCAAAAGGAACATATGAGAAAACACTTTGAAAACCATAAAACTCCATAAAAAGAAACAATACTGTTAGAATGACATACACACATTTATAAACATTCCCACAATTAAAAAAAACAAACTTAAATTGTTCCTGACTCTGAAGTTTCACTGAACTAAAAGTTCTACGGAAAGAAGGAAAATAATAGATTAGTCTTTGAATTCCTAACTCTCTCTACAAATCAGTATTCCCAGAATAAAACGAAGAAACAAGTAGGTCAGACTTACATAAGGGGTCAAAATTAGCTATCAGTGATTGCTTTTGAAGGGAGAATAGTGACTAAAAGGGAGTAATGAGGGGGGACTTCTGGGGTGCTAATAATGCTTTGTTTCCTGATCTGGGTGCTGGTTATACAGATATGTTCACTTTGTGAAAATTTTAGCTGTAAATTAAAAATCGGTATATAAATTATAAGTGAAAAAGTAACAAAACAAAAGAAACGCTGGGTGTTAAACTTTCCATTTCTTAACTCTGGGTGCAGCATTATGTTAATTTTTAAAAAGACTCGCAACAGTGGGCAATAACTTTCAAAAGCAGTAGGGAGAGAATGAACAAAGATATCTAATCTGACTATATGCCTATATTCCTTCTCTGGCAGCAGCAAGGAAGGTTGTAGATTCTCTAAATATTAAGGCAAGATCTGGTTTTTTATTAGAAAAACCAAGCACTAGTGATATAAGCTGGGAAAGTAAGATACATAGAAACAGGGATATGACACAGAAAGGAGACTAGAAAATTTGCCATTAAATAATATTTGATCTTACTTTAATCCCCACATCCAATCACCAAATATTACTAATTTTACATCCTAAGTAGCTCTTTTCTATAGCTCCACTGCTCAGTCCTTATCTTCTCACCCCTATATTGTAGCAAGAACATCTAAACTAGAATCCCTCCTTCCAAACTAGCTCCCGTCCATCCTCCACAGAGCTGCCAAATTAATCTAAAACATATATTCGAACACATCACTCCCCTGCATAAAATCCTCAATTTATCAAACCACAATATATCAAAGTAAGAAAAGTGGAGCTACACTGGTTTTGAAGGGGTGGAAGAAAGCTGCCTGTTAGCAGCTGTGACCATTTACTTCCTTTTCACTTCCCATTGTATCCTGGAGTCACATCTGAGAACTCCAGTTACACACTTCAAAAATCAAATCAGTGACTTCTATGATCAATTAAACTCCTTCAGCAAGGCCCTTTAAGTCTTTTGATGATCAGATTTCTAAAGAGCCATATAAAAACTGGTTAAGAACTAAGCCAGACCCAAGTTTTAGAGTAAGTTCTGCTACCAGCCAGCGATGAACTTAAGAAAATTAAAACCCTCTAAAGCCCAGTTTTGGTAAAATCAATAATAGCACCTACTTTTATAGGTTGTATGATTCCAGAAAATAATGTACACTGCTTAATACAGCAAGTAACCAATAAATATTAGCTACTAGAATACAGTCTCTTCAATGTCCACATCCTTCCTCACATTTTGCTTCCAGCTTACTGAACACCTTATTCAAAGCCTCCCTTTCCTTTCAAAAGCTCTTCCCAAACCCTGAAATATCCTCTCTCACACTATCAGTCTGGCAAGCTTGTAGTCATACTTTGATTGCCCCTCTCAACAGTCATGCATTTCTTCCTTTTACTAATAATATACATTGTACATTTCTTCCATTATTGCCTGTATTCACACCATATTGTATTTACCTATTTATATGTCTACCTCCCCTCCTAGACTCAAGTTCCTAGAAGAAAGGAACCATATCTTATTTCTTCTTTTATTCCTGGGGCCTAGTCCAGTTCCTGACTGTAGTAAGATCTCAAAAAATGTTTTTAAATGTTGGAGCTAATATTTACTGAAAACCAATATGAGCCAGGCAGTAGGCCAAGAGCTTCATGTAAGTTCTTTCTTTCTTTTTTTTTTTTTTTAAGAAATGGATTAAGTGTCAAAGACCCACAAATAGTACTCTTGCTAGAGGTCTTATCTTCAGCAGACCTCAAATCAGCACTATCTAATAGAAATGTAATGTGAGCCACACACCTAATCTTACATTTTCTAGTAGCTACATTTTTAAAAAGTAAAAAGGAAACAGGTGAAATTAATTTTATGATATATTTTCTTTAACCCAATATATCCAAAATATTATCATTTCAACATGTAATCAATAAAATATATAATAAGATATTTTACATTCCTTTTATCTTACTAAATCCTCAAAATCACATCTCAATTTGGACTGACACATTTCCAAATGTTTATGAACAGCCACATGCAGATAGTGGCTACCATACTGGATAGCATAGTCTTAAATCGAGGAATCTTGAAGATGAAAATGAAGAAGAAGAAATGAAAAAAAAAAAGTGCCAAGAGTTTGACATTTATGCAGCATACTTTTAGCCAAAGGATACAAATTGGGAAAAAAAAGATAATGAGGCAAGATTCAGATGCCTAATGCTATTCTTCAATTAATTAGTATTCAATTTAATTCAGTATATGTCTACCAACTACCAACAACGTATCTGGCACCATACTTGGTGCTGGGAACAAATTAGACCCCATTTACTGCCTTCAAGGACTTGACTCCTTTCTCAGATCAATGGGGAAAACAAGTCTCTAAGAGAAATAACTAAAATTAATATAATGTTACCAAAAAAGTACATATAAAATGTGACTGTAACAAAGATAAGGGAGCATGCTTTCTATTCCTACCTTACAGGGAAACAGTGAAAAGTATCCCATTCTCTGCTCTACCCTTCAGCAAGTGTCAAAACTGGGATAATTCAGCAGGACATACTTGCTCCTTCTAGCTCAGGGCTCCTTTTGGAACTACAAAATGGTATTACACTACCATAAAGATGACTATTTGTTATAAGAACTAAGCAATATCTAGGTAAAACAGTGCTGTCTTTGGCTTAAATGTTCATTTAAATTAGACATGGGATCCAAAAACATTTCTATCTTACCATTTGAGTCACATATTTCATAATAATCAACTACTTAGTTAAGAACTGATTAGATGGCATATATTAAGATGTTCCACAATTAAATTTCCATTGGTATTTAATATTTTCCACTTGAGTATATTTGGCAATGTTAATTAAATCAATTACCTCTGAGAGAGATGCATCAACCTTGGAAGAAATTTTCAGATCTAGCCACGGCTGGTAGTTTTCAAGTAGTAAGGAAGGCCTAAATAGAAGATCATACAATTAAACTGCCTGAAATCCAAAATGTAATTGGAAGGATCAACAAATAAAAAATGTTTAACTTACCTATGTCGTTTACATTTCACTTTACCACAAACAGCACAGCTACGACCTTGAGGAAATAATTCTTGAAGTCCTAACTGCTAAAAAAGGGAAATGGGGAAGGGGAGAGATTTGTCTTAGTTTACACATCATCTGTACCGAAGATAATCAACTTTTCAAAAGTTTATTAATCAATGTATAAATTCAGAGAATATTTTTTAAATTATTATTTGTCTGCAGTAACACTGAAACCATGCTTTGTAATAACTACTACTGGCTAAACTGCCAAATAAGAGAGAAAAAATACCCAACTTTGGGAACGTCTGTTTTAATTTATTGTATTCATAGTTAATATGCAGTTAAATTTAAAATTATGGATCCCAACTTTTTGAGAAGTTTGTATTTTCTTTTTATAGCTCCTTGTAGAGCTGTATACCTTAAAAATATACACGTATTTAAATTTCACTTCAAATAATGTTCTAATGTCTTTCATTATTAAATGATAGCAGATGGGTTTTTTTTAAATCACTGCATTAATATGCTTTCAGTAATATCAAACAGCATAGGTAATATATACTGACTCTTTACAAAATAAGAACACATAAATTTTACCTTGGGTTTGTATTTTATTGTGAAGAATATATTTGGTAAGAGAGAATCCGGTCCCAATGAGCAATAGAATGTAAAAACTCCAGCAACAAATGACCAGAAGATCATTAAAACATGAAGATACCTTAGAAATAAATGAAAATAATTATTACAACCAAAAAAAAGTATAAAACTAAAGTTGTCCCTTCATTGATTTGACAAGTATTTATTAAGCATCTACCATATCAGACTGAAGACAGATCTCCAATCATGATGTCTGTGATGTATTTATTTAACGATAAGGATCACAGAAAGCATGCTATCAAATGTATATTTCATTTAAAGTGTAAGGAGGTATAAATTCTCAATATTTTACAATTTGGTACCTAGGTTGTTATGTTTGACTAGCTATACTATATTCTTCCAAAATACCTTCCAATGATATTGTAGTATTCATACCCCATCAAAATTCTGATTATCTTTCATTAAATCAAAAAAAAACTTTACTGGGTACCTATTATTTTGTGCCACCCAATACTAGGCTCTGGGGGATACAGTCAGGAACAGCACTGCCATGTTCTCTATATGCATGGAAAACATGGTCTGGTAGGTAAGAAATGAGTACAATACAGTGTGATCATGTGTCTACATTATGACAGAGTCAGCATACATGATATCGGAACACCTCAGGCAGAATATACAATCCAAATTTAAAGGACAGAAAAGCTTTTTTCAAAGAAAGCAGCTCTGTAGAAAAACTTTAAAGAGTAAGTAGGAGAAACCCAACAGAAGAGAATGGGGTAGACTAATGAGGGACTAGGGAAGAGGCAAGGGAATTCAAACTTGGGAAAACTACATGAACTAAGATCTGAGCATAGCTCCAAGGAAGAAGTGGCTTTAAGATGAATCTTAAAAAAAAACAGGCAGAAGCCAGATAATATGGTGTCATAAAATAATTCATGTTAACAGGTCTCAATACAGGCAGTCCTCATATTGCACAGTCCTGATATGCACAAATTTCCATTACCACGATTTTGTGAAACACCAGTCCCCCAACAACACAGTTCAAATTCCAATTACCACATTGTGTTTATTAACTGGTAACTATATAAAGCACAAACTTTAGTGCTAGTTCTTCCATCCACAAATCACTACGTAATGAGAAGAGAATGAAGCCAGTCCACAGAAAGAAAAAGGAAATGAAGAAAGTATCAGTTGTATTTTAAATCTAGGTTCTATGTGCCTCTGAGGCCTACCTACACTCCAGTTCCTTCTACACTTAAGTAACCTTCCAATGATTCCACTCTTTGCCAAACCTAGTGTGGGTTTAGTTTCTGTCATCTACCACTAAGAGTCTTAAGTAATACCCTGGAGGCAATGAAGAATTTTTTTTTTTTTTTAAGATTTTAGGAATTTTAGGGATGCCTGGGTGGCTCAGTTGGTTAAGTGTCTGCCTTCGGCTCAGGTCATGATCCCAGGGTCCTGGGATCGAGTCCTGCATCAGGCTCCCTGCTCCGCGGGGAGCCTGCTTCTCCCTCTGCCTCTGCATTTCTCTCTCATGAATAAATAAATAAAATCTTAAAAAAAAAGATTTTAGGAATTTTAGAAGGTTTTTTTTTTAAGATTTTATTTATTTATTTGACAGAGAGAGAGGGAACACAAGCAGGGGGTGTGGGAGAGGGAGAAGCAGGCTTCCTGCTGAGCAGGGAGCCCAGTGTGGGGCTCAACCCCAGGACCCTGGGATCATGACCTGAGCCAAAGGCAGATGCTTAACAACTGAGCCACCCAGGCTCCCAGGAATTTTAGAAGTTTTAAGGACAGTAATATTGCTAGACTTTATAATCAAAAGACCACTCTGGCTGCAATATGGAGAAGAGCCTAAACTAGAAACATGCAGACTAATTAGAAAGCTGAAATAATCTACCAGAGTCAAAGGATAGCCTATACAAGGGAAGAGACTTAGAGGTAAAAAGCTGATTGTCTTGAAACATTTAGGAGGAAGAATTAAGAGGACTAAGTTGTTGATTAATGTGAGCAGAAGGGATAGGTAAGAAATCAGTTCTCTTTGGACACACTATAAATTTCAAGTATCTTAAAACATGGCACGCAATTGGGGAGTCTGGGTAGCTCAGTTGGTTGAGAATCTGCCTCTTTTAGCTCAGATCATGATCTCAGGGTCCTGGGCGGGAGAGAGCCTGGAGTCAGGCTCTTCACTCAGTGTCTGCTGAAGATTCTCTCTCTCTCCCTCCCGCTCTACCCCTTCTCACGCTCGCTCGCTCTCCCTCTCTCTCTAAAATAAATAAATCTTAAAAAAATGGCAAACAGAAATGTTTCATGAGCAATTAAATACTGGGTAGTTTAAATCTCTGCAGAGAATATGAGCTAAGGAAAAAAGTTTGGGGATTATCACACAAAGATCACTGAAGTCACGGGAATAAATGAAATGACCAGGGAGGAGCTGCAGAATGCAAAAAGAAGAGGCATTTAAGAAATAAGCAGAGCAAGAGAAATTTATAAAGGAATCTATTAATTAGAAGAGCTGTGAGAAAAAAAAAAAGAATCAAGTCATAGGGGCGCCTGGGTGGCTTGGTCTGTTAAACATGTGCCTTTAGCTCAGGTCATGATCCCAGGGTCCTGGGATGGAGCCCCGCATCAGACTCCCTGCTCAATGAAGAGCCTGCTTCTCCCTCTCCCTCTGTCTCTCCACCCCCCCCCCAGTCATGCCCTGTCTTTCTCTCTCCGTATCTCAAATAAATAAATAAAATATTTTTTTAAGATTTTATTTATTTCTTTGAAAAAGATTTTATTTATTTGACAGAGAGAGAGACACAGCAAGAGAGGGAACACAAGCGGGGGAGTGGGAGAGGGAGAAGCAGGCTTCCCGCTGAGCAGGGAGCCAGACGCAGGGCTTGATCCCAGGACCATGACCTGAGCCAAAGGCAGATGTTTAACAACTGAGCCACCCACGTGCCCCAAATAAATAAAATATTTTAAAAAAAAAAAGAATCAAGTCATAAAGGTTGTCAAGGTAAAAAAAAAAAATTTCAACAGGGATGAAGTAGTTAACATGATCAAATATTTTAAAATGTAAGTGAGAGAATGAGAAGTTTTAGCAACAAAAAAAGGCACTAATGAACCGGCAAAAGCAGTTAGTAGAATGCCAAAGGAATGCAGTGTATTAAAGAGTGAAATGAAAATAAAAAAGTGAAATTGGGGGATGCCTAGGTGGCTCAGTCAGTTAAGCATCGGACTCGGTTTTGGCTCAGGTCATGATCTCAGGGTCATGAAATCGAGTGTCAGGCTTCGCACTCAGCAGAGAGTCTGCTTGAGATTCTCTTTTTCCCTCTCTCTGCCCCTCCCCCACTAAAAGAAGTGAATTGGTAAATGTGGATAATTCTCTTTTTAAAGGAACAGCAGGCTAAGGTTGTGCCTGGAGAGAGATAATGACTGAAAATGTTTAGTAAAACCTAATCATATTCAAAGGTTGACAGGATAGAAGGAGATAAGAGAAAGAGACATAGGAGAAGAGCTAATTGAGTTAATAATGTCCTAGAGAAGATAGCAGTAGTTGGGATTCAGAGCCTAAACAGAAGAAATAGTTATGAGAGGGAGAGATAACTCTTCCCAAATACCAGAGAGTAACCATAAATGGATGAGAATGCACTTAACCTGTAGATTCAGTAGTGAGGATTAAAAGCAGTATGATGTCCTTTAAGTGAAACGGGAAATGCTGAGAAAGGCAAACGTGGCAATATCAGAAGTTCTAGCAGACTGGGGAAGTTTTGAAAGAGCTGCTGGGCAGAAGTAAAGAAAAGAGTATTCTGAGGAACTGCTGGGGAGTTAGATTTACAGGTTTGGGATTTTCTCTAGCATCATTTAGTAACCAGGATATAAACACTAAAAAAGCAAGCAGCATCACTGATCCAAGATTTGAATTTTGTCAGGTGAGTGCAATAGAAGGGAGTTAAGGATACTGGCAATAGAGTAGTTGAAGTGATGGACCATGGATTCTAAGCTAGACCAACTTTAAACTGCATAGGAAAGTAAAAACAGAAGAGAAGAAATAGAAAGAAAAGGAGTCAGGAGGCTGAGAAGTCAAGGAGCAGGTACAGTGTGACTGACTGAATGAGAGAAGCAGCCGGTCAGCAAGTGGGATACTTGCTTTTTAAGATTTCAGAGGTAGAGCTCTTTCTAGTGATAACAAGAGCTACCATATGTCGATCCAAGTGGGAAGCTAAAGAGGAATCACCTCACAATAGAATATTTATTTGGTGGGTTATTCACACAAGCACTGAAGTCACCTAGAATGATGACAGGAATTAAAATGGAGAGAAAGTCTGTAAGCCACAAAACAAAATCATCTATAGATGAGCACAAATGACCTGGAGATTGATATCAATGAGAAAACAGACAAATGGCATATGTTTCAAAGGAGTAAAGGACTTCTGCTTCCTTGACAGAACGACTGGTACCAGACTTGCCCTCCCACCATAAACAACTATAAAACAGGATGGCTCAGCCAGTTAAGTGGCTGCCTTCAGCTCAGGTCATGATCCCAGCGTCCTGGGATTGGGCCCCACATTGGGCTCCCTGCTCAGCCGGAACCCTGCCCTGCTTGTGCTCTCACACACACTCTCTCTCTCTCTGATTGAAAACAAACAAACAAAAAAACAAATGCAGTAACTATCTCCAGGCACCGGACAATAGGCAATACAGGACTATAATCTTTAAGAGAAAGAAAGCACACAATTGAGTTCCACATCCATCCCAGTTCTCTGACTGATGACAATTTACCAAGTGCAGTATGGAATAGAAAGGATTACAGAAGACCTGGGAGTTCAGAATTGGGAAATATACAGCACCAAGTAGTAAGAAGAGGTGAAGATGGATTAGAGGTGCTTACCTATTACAGACAGTGACCAAGTAAATATAAAAGCTGTGAGGCAAAGGCTGAGGCACCAAACCAGATGAATTGCCTGGTCTTATTGTTGCGTGCAGAACAAAATAAAAACCCCTTAAACCTTTACGGTCCCTTTTGATCTGTCCGGTTCACTTTTCTACCCTTATTTCTTCCCATTCCTTTTTTTTTTTTTAAATAATCTCTACACCAAGCATGGGGCTTGAACTCACAACTCGCATGCTCTA